TTTTACACATTGAAGTAGCTTCCCAAATTCTGTAAAAAATATCAAAAAGATATGACTAATTTATTCAATTATCTTTGTCAGCTTTTTGGCCATGGAATCTGGGATATTTTTGAGCAACTTTCTACATTTCATTGGAAGACACTAACTTCTAATATTCTACCCTCCTGCTGAATGGAATCACAATTCTTGGGAAGTTAACTTGCACTTCAAAGAGCAGAGAAAATATTATCTGTTCTACATACAAAGGGCGATTAATAAAGATCTCAGTGAATATCAATTGGAATATTATTATTCAGGAGGTATGCATAACTATGTTCTAATTATCTATGTTCTGTGGAATTACAACTCCCACTCTATTGAAGATTGATCAATCTTAATGGAAGTTTTTGTTCAGTAATATTTGAAGGATCACACATTACCAAACATCCTTCTCCCTCCCTTCTTCTCTCCAACTGGCCTGAAGTGCCTGAACAAGTCTCTGAAGTTTTCTTGGCAAGATTGTTCAGAAATGGTTTGCCATCTTCTTCAGGACTGAGAGAAACTTACTAATGAAAATTAACCAGGTGGAACTAGAATTCATGATCTCCTGATTTTTAGCCTAAGTTTAGTGTGTCTCCCTCTCCCTTTCCCTCTCTCTCTACAGACTGATCAAAGAATTATTAATTTTCAAGTTTGGAAAACAGAAAAAAAATATTATATTGTCAATAAAATTGTCTTTGTTAAGAGCTGGAATTTAAGATGAAATTTTGTAAGTCAGAAAACTCTTCTATAAAATATTAAAAAAATGACTATAATGCTAGAATAGCAACTTTAGATATGAATTGAAGAAAATCCTCAATTGTCTAAATCAGGGGTGTCTCAAGCCTGTGGGCTGCATCCAGCCCACAATGTGGCTGGATCCAGCCTACGCGGCTGCCCTTGAGACAGCTAAGGACCGGCACCCAGCACCTAAGTTCCGACACAGCCTGACCAGGCGCTAATCTATAACTTGATGGCCACCATCCGGGTGGAACGTGGTCAGCCTTAGATCCATAGGGCCATAAGGAACAACCCCACCACCTCAGCTCCACTCCCTGGGCTCTCACAGCTTCTTGTGCAGATGCCCGGAGAGTGAGGCTGAGGTGGCGGGAGAAGCCCGTAGTGGGCTCAAGGACTGTCCTGCACGATCTAATGATCACTGTGTTTCAGGTTGGATGGCTGCCATCGAGTTATAAAGCTGTGCCCACCACTGCCTCCATGTCCTGCTCTCTGGCCCAGCCTTGCAGCCCCTGTGACTTTTCTTTCACTGGAACAACCCCCATCCTGCCCCATGTGGGAAAGCCATAGCTGTGGTAAGCACAGTCACCGGCAGCACTGCCAATCTCTCCCTGCTCCTTGTCCCTTCCTGAGTGCAGAGGGAACAAGATTGGAATGAGAGGGACGGAGGGAGGGAGGAAAGAAGGAAGGAAGGAGAAAGAAAGCAAAGTTTTTCTAGAGGGGAGGCAGCAAAAGAAGCAGCAATCCTTGGTTAGGAAGCAGGCAAAGACAGAAAGTAAACCTCAATCCCCAGAAACCAAAGAAAGGAAGAAAAAGGGGAGCTGAAAACTAAACCACTGAGCTGACATTGCTCCAGCTGGTAGTTGATCTCTCCCACTCTGGCTTCCCTACTCAATTGCTCACCTCCTTTAGTTCCAGACCTCTGGTGGGGCTCCAGCAATGATCAGTGCCAAGCCAACCAGTCTCTCTAGAAGCAGCCACATGGGGAAGGAGGAGGCTGGGGGGAGTTCTCCCTGGGTTTTTAAAGTTGCAAAAATTTTCTTCCTCTTTTTCCTCACTTTGCAGTGAGGCTCTCCGGCTCTGGGAGTGTCTGGGCTGGAGGATTTTTTCTTCAGGAGAAAAAGCAGTGGGAGTGGAAGAGGTAGTGACTTGTAAGGGTTCCTTCACTAACTTGGATTTGTCTCCCGTGGTGGGAGGGTGGTTTCTTCTCCCTTTCTCTGATTTCTTTTTTTTCTTAGAAACAAAGGAGGTACAGGGAGGGGAGTTGGGATTGTCCCCAAAAGCAAAACCCCAAAATTAAAAGTACAGCTTTTGAAATCCTTAAAAAGTTACAAGACCAACGATGGGCCAGTGATTTCTCTTTTTCTTTTGGGGAAAAACAAGCAGCTGGTATCTGCGTGAGTATCCCCAGTTCTTTATAAGGGCCATATTTAAAAGCGGGTGTGGGTGTGGGGGAGGAGTTGCCTTCTCCCCCAGGAAAGGGGAGAGGGAAGAAGGAAGGAGACAGAAATGAGGAAGAGGGAGGGAGAGAAGGAAGGAAGGATGAAGGAAGGAGATGGGACTGAGAAATAGGAAGGCAGGAAAGCTGGCCATGTCCCTCCTAGCTTCCCGAGATCAACCACAACTCTGATGCAGCCTTCAGGGAAATAGAGTTTTACACTCCTGGTCTAAATGGTACATAGGAAAACATAAGACGACTGCAACAGGAGACAATGTTAAACATGATGCCATAATAGTATAGCTGCTTCTAAACTATTATATAAAGATGTTATATTATAAATAACATCAAGTAATATAAGCAATGAAAGAGCAGATTTTTTTTTTTTTAAAAAGAAAGCCTCTGGATTTTTCCAAATTCTCTGGAGGTTGGCTTATAACTTGATGACTTTCCTCTTTTTCAATTCTCCAAGCACATAAAACCCCATCTAAAAATACTGAATGCCTTACCAATAATATTCTCTAATAAAAGCAGAGGAATCAAAATTGCATGTTTGTAAAATGGCACCTGGAACTGTTTCCTGGGAAATCAATCATAAGAAGATAAGATTGTCTGCTGACCAAATCTTTTAAAGGTACAATCTATGCTGTGGGGAAGAGGAGGAGGAGAGAGGAGGAAGAAGGAAGAAGAGGTTGTGATGTACAGATCCATTTGTTTGATTTTAAAAAACAACTTTGTAGTCATACCTATGAGCTATCTGCAACTTCTGATTCAGACATCCCTCCCAAAAATTTCAAATGGATGACTGCCAAGTTTGTCAATATAATAATCCATCAAAAATAAATATAACTTCAAAAATTGCTACACCTGTGGGAGGTTTGATCTAGAACCTGAAAGGAAGTTCCATCTAAATTAATGTTTGGTAACATTAATTAATACATAAATCCAATTTATTTATATAATGTTTGATATTATATTCTTGTTCATAAATGAATGTTTATGGCCAATCTTTCAAGATATACTGAAACTGCTCATGATCCCTAGAATCGCAGCATAAATATAGATATGTGTATTAGGGAAGCTTGTATTAGATTATAGACTGAACAGACTTAAACCTTGAAGATTCACCAAAAGGTAAGAGATAAATTCAAAATTCTCAATCTAGGAATTTCTTCTGGGGACCAGCAATACACATTTCTTCAATATAAACATTTACACTTGTTTCATCCATCTGAAAACTTTTTTTTTACTCTAGCTGTATTTCTGTTGTTTCTAGACAATTAGAAGTCAGTATTTCTATTAATTTATTATAAATTAATCAGAGTTTTTAAAAATATTCTCTATATTCCACTCTAATCTATAGTACTTTGATCTGGTGATCAGATGAAAGAAATCCTCCACCATAATTTCTCATCCTCAGAAAGAAAAATACATAAAACAAACAAGAAAGCTCCACACCACAAAATTAGTCATCAGGGATATTTAATTCTAATGCTTTCTCTAAAAGAGTTTTATGTATATGGAAGAACATTTGATCATATGAGCCTGCAAACTAAGTAGTATAACCTATCTGCTGGTTTTCAACTTCAAAGAGAATTTGGCCTGTAAGATATAAATTCTTCTCCTTAATGGAAGAATATGCAGAGAAGAATTTGCTACATTGCACTAAGTAATGGAATCACTAAAAAATGCCAGTGAAGGATTGTCATCAAAGAACTCTAGTTTAGCCCTGAACCAGGATTAGTCATGGCAGTTTTTACTTTATTTGGATTTGCGTCAATTAAAAATATTTGCTTTTCAGGGTATCCTTCTGTTACCAGTAAGATCTTTCAGCAGTTTTTCTAAATATACATGTATCAGATCATAGAACTTTTTGATCTGAACATTTTTCTATTCACACTTTGTGCTACTGGATATTCATTACCTTGTTTATACCTGCATATAAAAGTTTTTATATATATAATTTTCCAACTTAATATGACAGTCAATTCAAAGAAAATTTCTGCTATTCAAAATGATACATATTGAATTAAAGACATGGAAATTCAACATCTCTAATTTAATTAATATCTGAATTCATGCATAATTTTTCTAAACATTATGTTATATATAATTTATAAAATCAAATGAAAATGAATCAAGTGGCAAAATGAATTGTTTAACTGAAGGTCCTTTATCAGCATTTTTGAATCAGCTACACTGACCACTCTTAGTGTAACAATGGCAGAGATAGCTGTAATACTTCACATTTGTCAGAAAGGCCACAGCTTCAAGGGCTGATCCAAATGAAATGCCAGTATTACTGTGAAATAAATGTTCCTTGCATGTCATTTTCATGAACTAGATTTTAGAAATGATCTTCTACAGAATAAAAAGGAATGACACGTGGAGTTGCTGAAGTTGCCATCTGTAACATAACCTAACCCAATTTTTCTAGCCTCTCTCAAGCAGCTATTTATAATTCAAAGCATTGATCTTGTACAGTCATATGGTGATGACAATATTCACTCTCTTTTGCTTTTTTTTCTTCAGAGAGCTGTTGCCTTTTTAAAACTGAAGGGCACTGGTTCAGCTGATTTGTGACTTATGTTGGAAGTTTATTCTGTCATTAAAAGTAGCAAACAAAAACAACCAGACTTTAGATCTAAGGAAAAAGTGCGCTAAACTATTGCTAATTTATTTTAAATTTAAAACAGCAAGAAATGAACATAAATTCTTCTTTGTTGTTGCTTACTGATGATTACACAGCAACGGATTTGCATCTGCAAGAAGAAATGGAAATACAGTAGTAAATAGTTCATCTCACCTGTTTTTTCTTATAAAATCCCTTCTTGTCACAGTTTGGAATATGCAATCCTCTTGGACTTAAAACATTCAGAATCTTCAGATTGTTTAATGTATCTTCCATCTCTCTTCGACAAGGACCCTGTCAATTGCAATTTCAATATATTTTTATAAATTAAAAATTTCTTGTATGTTAGAACATAGAATAATAGACTTAGAAGGAACCTTGGAAGTCTTCTAGTTTCAACTTATCCATGTTATACTATTTTATTTTATTTATTTATTTGATTTGTCAAGCACTTACAAGATAATAGGTGTAAGTATAAACATAAGAATACAGGAAATAGGTACGAATAAATGGGGACAATAGGACAGGCATGGGAGGAACGATGCTGCACTTATACAGACCTCTTAGGAATGGGGTGAGGTCAATAGTGGATAGTTTGAGGTTAAAGGAGTGGGGGTTTGAGGATGTAACAACAGAGTTAGGTAGTGCATTCCAGGCATTGAACACTCTGTTGCTGAAGTTGTACTTTCTGCAATTAATTTTGGAGCAGTTAACATTGAGTTTGTATCTGTTATATAATTACAATTAATTATACTATTATATAAGGTGCAAATTTATATAAAACATTTGCTGTTTGTATATTTATATAAAATAACAAGAATCACTCAAGGAAAATTTAAAAATTTTTTTTGAACGTATTACTGTCACACATATACATTAAGAATCTGTCTGCTTTATTTTTTAAAACCACCCATTGTTTTCTGTGCTGTAGCTGATTGCCGTATTTTGAAAAATATCTATCTTCTGGGCTCCTCCCTTTAAATTCAGCTCTCCTGATGAAAATACTGAGTCTGAAATTAAAAGAAGATGTCACCTAACTGAGTTTCGTGCTGGGACTAAACTCTGTCTCCTGGTTTCTAGACTGATGTTTTAACCTCCTCCTACTGGAAATCAAGGAAAAAGAAAAGAAAAATTTGACTCTTTGCTCCTTTTTTTCTGGATGGGAGCAAGACCAGCTCTTTGCAGCAAACAATGCAAAAATACTCAAAGAAGCATAGAGATTCAGTAGGAGAAGACACTCTTGCAGGTGGCCAACCGTAACATTGAAGGTCAAATTCAGGCTCCTCCTCCAGATGAATCAGAATTAATTATACATCTCTTTCTTATATTCAAGAAGAGTTGGACCCTAAACAAACCTAAGATTTTTAAAACTAACTTCCAAAAGCTTCTACTACAACTACATGTGATTTTTGTAAAAATGTGAGTTGGGAATGAGGCTCTGGAATTGTATGAGATAGTGCAACCTGGGAGAACACAGGAACATTCACGACTGTCCTTAAATTAACTTCATGTCAAAAATCTTGTTTAGAATAATTCCTTAGTCTTCCCGGATCTTCTCATTTTTTTACATACATGAAAGGTTTTTTTTTCTTCTCCATCCCTTTATGTGTTCTTAGTCATTGTACAGTTCATACATTTTGGTATGTCTTGGATGAGAATAATAAACCAATTGTGTCTGATGATTTTGCCTGAAGTTATTTAGAAACATATTTGATATTGTGTCTATGCTGTGGGAACTGATGAATTATCTTATCTACTTCTTCTTCTACAGAAGACAACCAAGAACACAGCCTGTTGATATTACTACACAATGCCAATATTAATAAAACCCTTTTGTTTAAAGAAGTTTTCATATCTTGTAAATCTAAAGACAGTTATGTGAATTTAAAAAGCAGTAAAAAGTCAAGCTTGTAATGGTACTTATGGAAGGGAAGTCCTGTGTGTATTTATAATGTATAGCTCTTTGGATGCTGTTGAATCACAAGTCCTATCAAACCCAACTTCCACAGCTGGAAATAAAGGATGCTAGCAATATTACCTCGGCTTACCAATATTTCCTCTACAGGGTCCAGACTTTTGATTTTCATATGCATCTGTAAGTAAATTGCTTACCTGTTATCTTATGACTGTTCAGTTATGATGGCCTCAGAATGGGTATACTTTATGGCGTATAAAGTACATTCATCTGTCATGTCATGCTCCTGGATGACTGTATTTCAGCTACTTGGCAAATGACTAGCCTTTGTGACTGGTTGCAAATCCTGCAATCATGCGACATTTTTGGTCTCTTTTTGGCTGGTTCTGGTAAATAGTGCCCATTTGTGTGTGTCTGTGGGGGGGGGGGGGTTATTTAACAACTGTGTGATTCACTTAACAAACATCACAAAAACATTGGAAAAAAAAAAGGTCCGATCACTTGGGTAGCTTGACTTATGACTGCAGTATTACAACTGGATTTTGGGCCCAAACTATGGTAATATGTTGACAACTTGTATCTGCACTCATTTCAAGCTCTTATATTTTGTTGCTATTTCACAATGCTTTTAAAAGCAAATTTACTAATTTATGCAATCTGAAAATTGCAAATAGAATAGTAGTAAATTTATTGCTCTGAACATTATTAATGACATTTACCTGAGAATTAAGTAGCAGTATTTAGATGGAAGAAAGCCAGAAGCAGTTAGGCCTATGGGCTAGATTGGACAATTGAGGCTGTGGAAGATAGATTTGAACTCAACTTGAAGGAAATATTTTATTGCTTTTTTCCCCAGCAGCCATTAGCCAATCCTATCACAAAAATAGGGCATTCAAATTGAACAAAAGCTAACTTTTGTATTCCTTTTTAGCCCAGCTGTGAGGAAGGAAGGAAGGGTCTTATTTCCACCCAACCTGCAGAAGAAGTGGCCAAGGACAAAATTATTTTAGAAATATTTATAAATTATAATAAAATAATAATTACATTATTTAGGAAATATTTTATTTTTTTAACTGGAAACACTAAAACATTGTAAGAACAAGTGGAAGCATTTCACCAAAGCATTTGAAGAAGTATTATTTTCTGAAACTTGAAAACAACACACATTTTCTCCATACAGTATATGTAAATCCCTAGTAGAAATGAATATGAGAGGACTGGATTTTTCAAAAATATTACAATTTTATTTGTAAAACTACATTTGTAGCTTCCGTGGTTGAAGAAAAAAGTTGGAAATGAAATGTTTACTATCTTTTGCAAATTTATAAACCATTTTCTGACCTAAAATCTGGGATAACTTTGAAATTTCTTAAACCTAGAAATATAAAATATTTAGTCAATTCCTGTTCTTATCTTCTCAAAAGCCAGATGCACTGAACTTCATGAAAACAGAATCCATAGCAATTTTAGATAAAACAATTTGAATAGTTTGGGTGAATCTGGCATAAAAAAATAAATATTTTTTTCCAAATCACGATGCATGATTATTTCCAGTAACCAAGTCTTTGAGAGCCTGCAGTCATCCTTTGTCTAATTCTCTGTCATCTTCTTCTCTCTCCCTTATCCTAAATATGGCTGCAGTTTATATAGGGAAACTTATAAAAGTACATCACTACCAATGAAACGGAATTCTTCTGATTTTAGAATTTGAGTACTTTCATCAGCTAAAAAGTGACTGCACTGAAGTACAATTATTATATCTATTTTATTTCTGTTCGAGAGGGAAACACACTCTGAAAGCCAAAATCCATGGACTGCCTCTGAAAAAATGAGAGACTTTTTATGACAGAATTAGCAGGACAGACACTTTTTGCATTTTTTGAGACTCCAAACATTTTTATTTCTGTAGGCTTTTGGAGTAGTCTCCTGCAATTTTTTTTTTCTTTTCAACAACACAACACTGTGTCTAGATCAGCTATGAATGTTTTGATGCAAAGCCAAGAAATACCCAGCAATGTTTTGTGTGCCTGTTGGCATAGACATGGGGGATAAGCAGATTTCCTGCCAAGAACAGTACATGAACCACAGTATTCTATGCTCACATTTCCTACAACTCGGCTGGCCTGCAAACTTTGTTCGCACACTGCACATAAGGAACAAGAAACAGTAGCCACTTCATCCCCATGTGTTATTTTGCCCAAAGGCATTTCAGTACGGCAGAGCAATCACTAACGAAGCTAGACATGACTTTGGGAGCAGTAGACACCTTTTGACAGACAGCCAAAAGTTGATTCAGAATCTTACATTCACTATACTCATTGGAATTTGCTGCTTGGGATGCAAGCTCACAGAGTATAAGTAAGAAATTTTATATTTATTAATAATGTGTCTTGTCTATTGGGAGGAATAAAAGTGAATCAATCCATTACCCCCAGAAAAACAACCAGTTTAATCAAAGCATAGGCATGGATAAATGTACACATTCTTCTTTAAATTTTTTAATTTCTAAATGATTACTTTATTAAAAGGTTTACATCTTGTGAAATTACTAGACATTTTCTGGAACAGGAATCACAACATTTGTTTATCTAACTGTTTACTGGTCTGATTATTTTATAGAGACATTATTCACAAACTCAAGTAGAAAATATGTACTTTTAAAAGGTAAAAGAGCATAATGGCACCAGCTTGGGTATTTATGGTGGATCTCCTTTGGTGAAGCCCAGCTTCAACCACAAAAAGCCACTGATTGACTTTGGGCCAGTTCTCTTTTAGCTAACCCAATTTAACTCATAGGAGTTGTTATGGGAAAAACAGGGAAGGAGGAAACACTGCATATGCTTCTTGGAGTTTCCAAACAAAAGGCAGGATGTAACTCAAACAATAGATAATGAATAAATAAAATATTTTTTAAGGAGGTAAATCAAGAAAATTCTTTCTTTCCACCTTCTCTTAAAAAAAACTGCAATGTTTTCCCCAAACAAAAACTTTTATATTTACTAAAATGTAATTGAAGATGCTGTTTGGTGACATCTTCAAACTAAAGTTAATGTGGTATATTGTTAAGTCACCAAGATAAAAAAAAAACAGGAGACTATGAGTTCTAGTCTGCTTTGGGCATGAAAACTAACTGGGTAATTATGGGTTAATCACCCTCTTAGTAAATCCACACGGCTATTGTTATAGGGAAAATAAAAGAAGGAAGATATATTAGGTATGTTTGCCACCTAGAGTTATTTATAAAAACAATAAAGGTTGAGTAAAAATAAATAAAATGAAATAAAATAAAATAAAATCTTTAGCTATAAATGGTGGGTAATTCCATAAGAGTAAATATTTAAATCACCTATAGAATAATCATGGAATAACAGAGTAAAATTTATAAACAAAACTTCCAATTCCATTAAATTAGTACTCTAATAATTTTGATGACAGCAAAAACTTAGGCTGTGTATTTTAACTTTTTTATTGTTTTAATTAATTTTTATTATTTAATTTGTATTTAATTTTTATTATTTATTATTTTATTATTATTATGCTTTTATTTTTTAAAACTTTGTTCATTGCCCAGACTCACTTGGTGAGATTGGTGGCTATACAAATTAAATAAATAAGTAAATTAATAAATCTGTAAAATTTATCCATTTAAAATGATGTAATTAAGACATGGATGTATATAACTTTGTTAAACAGTATTTTATCCGCATAATAGTGTTAAACAAATGCTTGCATATTTGTAAGCAAGTAAGTATGTAACAAACTGAAATACTTACATATTCAGTCTCCTGTTTAGATTCAGAAGAGAAATTCTGTGTGTCTGTGCTTTGTGAATCATACTTGTAGCGCTGGGTATTTTTGGCATATTCTTTCCTTATGACATCTATTTTGGTCTGATGGACATGTGACTTGGAATCTAACATCCTGTTGGTGCTGGGAACAGACTGATTTTCTGTACTACTAATATTCTGGTCTTCATCTGAATCACTGGAATTCCCTTCAAATAAAAACAAGTTTAACAAGCTGTTAGCCAATGTCAGTTTAATAAATAACTTATGAAGTGCTTTTAAATATTGAATATTATTTATATTTTGTCATCATTTACATAGAACATTACTGAATAGCAAGCAAACAAAAAATCAGGTCAGTTTAATTCTGAGGAAGCATAACAAAGTAGAAATCTAAATAAATATTGTGCATATATTTAGATTAAGGATTACATATAGAAAATGATCTGCTACTGATGCCATAATACTTAAAATACATATTTATTGTGTCCTGAATGCAATATATAGTTCAAAGCACATGGTTTTAAGATGGCAGCCTTAGGGATCATATAGGTAATAGCACCTGTTTAGAGTTCAGTGTTCCCATGACTGAAGGAACCTAGTAACTTTTCAACCTATAATTTCAACATAATTATTGGGTTGCAAGGCTTGTGCATCTTTCATTTATATTTAAATGTTTGAAAAGTGGCCTATATACTCTACATTAATTTGTTTTCCTAATTATATTTTTGAACCCTATACCGGTAGTTCTTACAAGAGATTGCTTAGTGACCATTCTAAGTTACAAGAACACTGAAAAAAATGACATGACCATTTTTCACACTTAACACATTGCAGCATCCCCATGGTCACGTAATCAAAATTCAGATGTTTGACAACTGATACAGATACAGATAATCAGAGTTGGAGGGGACCTTGTAGGTCATCTAGTCCAACCCCCCGCCCAAGCGGGAGACCCTACACCATTTCTGACAAATGGCAGTCCAATTTCTTCTTGAAAGTCTCAACTGATGGCGTTCCCACAACTTCCGAGGCCAAGCTGTTCCATTGGTTGATTGTTCTCACTGTCAGAAAATTTCTCTTATTTCCAGGTTAAATCTCTCCTTGTTCAGTTTCCATCCATTATTCCTTGTCTGGCCTACAGGAGCTTTAGAAAATAGCTTGACCCCTTCCTCCCTGTGGCAGCCCCTCAAATATTGGAAGACTGCTATCATGTCTCCCCTGGTCCTTATCTTTACTAGACTAGCCAAGCCCAGTTCCTGCAACCATTCGTTGTATGTTTTAGCCTCCAGTCCCCTAATCATCCTGGTTGCTCTTCTCTGCACTTTTTCTAGAGTCTCAATGTCTTTTTTATAATGTTGTGACCAAAAATGCAGTACTCTAGGTGTGATCTTACTAAGGCTTTATAGAGTGGTATTAGTACCTCCCTTGATCTTGACTGTATCCCTCTGTTAATGCAATTTAGGATTGCATTAGCTTTTTTGGCTGCTGCTGCACACTGCTGGCTCATATTTAGCTGGTTGTCCACTAAGACTCCAAGATCCCTCTCACAGTTACTGCTATTGAGCTTGGTTTCACCCAGTCTATATGTGTACTTTTGGTTTTTCTTGCCTAAGTGTAGGACTTTACTTTTCTCTGTATTGAATTTCATTTTTATTAGATATGGCCCAGTGTTCTAGTCTGTCAAGATCCATCTGGATCTTGAGCCTATCTTCTTGGGTGTTACCTATTCCTGCCAGCTTAGTATCATCTGCAAATTTGTTAACTTCCCCTTCTATTCCCTCATATAAGTCGTTAATGAAGATATTGAAGAGTACTGGGCCTAAGACGGACCCTTGTGGCACCCCACTGCGTACTTCCCTCCATGTAGACTTAGACCCATTAAGGACTACTCGTTGAGTATGGTTTGCCAGCCAGTTGCGAATCCATCAGTGGTGGTGCTATCTATTCCACTTTTTTCTAGCTTACTAAGAAGTAGGTTGTAGTCTACTTTGTCGAATGCCTTGCTGAAATCTAAATATATTATGTCCACAGTATTTTGCTGGTCTACTAATTTAGTCACTGTGTTGAAGAATGAAATAAGATTAGTTTGGCATGATCTGTTTTTAACAAACCCGTGCTGACTGCTAGTTATTACTTTACTTGTTTCTAGAAGTTGGAAGATCTGTTTTTTTATTATCTTTTCCAGTATTTTCCCGGGTATTGATGTTAGGCTGATTGGCCTATAGTTTCCTGGGTCTATTTTTTCCCCTCTTTTGAAGATGGAAACCACATCAGCTCTTTTCCAGTCCGCTGGTAGTTCCCCGGTGCTCCAGGATTTTTGAAAGATATGGTGCAGTGTTTCTGAGATGACCTCTGCCAGCTCCTTTAAAACTCTGGGATGTAATCCATCAGCCCCCAGTGATTTGTTTTCATCAAGATCAGACAGGTGTTCTCTTACTATTCTTTTGCTTATTTTAACTTTTATTTCTGGTCTGTCTTTTACAGTTATGTTTTTGGTGGGTTGAGCTGTAGTCTCTTTTTGCGTGAAGACAGAGGCAAAGAATGAGTTAAGCAGTTCTGCTTTCTCTCTGTTGCCTGTTACTTCCTTGCCATCTTCTCTCTTTAGTGGACCGACTGTTTCCTTGATTTTTTTTCTTGTTATTTATAGGTTGGAAGAAACTTTTTAAATTTTCTTTGACTTTGGTTGCAAGTCTTTGTTCGTTCTGAGCCTTTGCTATCCTGATTTTGTGTAGCCGTGTTGACTCATATTTCTGACAGTCGCAGTGTCCCAGGGTCATATCATCACCTTTTGCAATCTTCTGACAAGCAAAGACAATGGGGAAACCAGATTCACTTAACAACGGTGTTACTAATTTAACAACTGCAATGATTCAATTAACAACTGTGGCAAGAAAAGTCATAAAACGGGGGGAAACTCATAAATTTTTTACTTAGCAACATAAATTTTGGGCTCAGTTGTGTTTGTAAGCTGAGGACTACATGCACAGCTAGAAAACTGCCTTCTCTATATTTAAATAAGCTTTAACTCTCACCAGAAGAGGGCAGAATTGTACCAGGATTGAATTGCTTCTAAATCTGGACCTAAATCAAGAATCTATTGGGACATTAACTTGACTTTTAAAGGATTGAAATAGTTGCCTATTTATTATTTGTAAGATTTATTGTAAGCATATCTATTTTTGAGTTTGCCATGAAGGTTTTTCCTAAATGAATGCAGACATGGTATAATCTGTAATGGTAAAATTGAATTATTAAATAGTAATTACTAATTATTAGTAATTTTTAAAAAATCTTAAAACAGGGGTCCCCAACTCCCAGTCCATGGCCTGATACCAGTCGACAGCCCACTGGGAACCGAGCCACGCAAGTAGCGGGCAAGCGCACAAAGCTCCATTTACTCATCTAAGGATTAGGTTGTGTACACGAAACCATCCCCTTTCCCACTGCCACCTGACACTATTGAATTATTACTTCATATTTTCTGCTATTTTGAAGGAAATGATAATTCCTTTCAGTGCTGTGAATATTACAGTGCTATGGCTCTAAAAACAAATATGCATACTTGATTTTTCCTGAGACTTAAATATGTCACTTTCATAAAGGAAATGTTTTAAATATGTGGCAGACAGAAAGCTCCTATATCGTTAAGAAGTATGTGTATACACTGAATTTTTCTCCAGCTGGACCTGGTTACACTTCCTCTGTGTATTTTATTGAAGTTAATATTTCCCAAGCTCATTGCATGTTTATATTTCAGCCAAAAAGCACCTGTGGCAATAGCTTCTAAAAGGCACAACTATTAACAGGGAATATATTCACCTATAAAAAAATGGACCCAGAAACATACCAACTTTATATTCAGCTATAAAAATAATATAAACGATACAATACTATAAAAAGTTCTACTTTGGGAAAAATGCTATTCATGTTACAGAAAATAAAAGCCCACTCAGAAGAGGCCAATGATATGTTGTCAAAAGACAAAGGAGTGGGGTCAAAACTAGGTACTTGCTATTAATATCTTTCCACTGCCACTAAACGACAAGTGGCAAAAGCAGTGGTGGAGAATACATTTCCAACAAACGGTGAAGGAAGCAAAATTATTTGTTTTGTATAATTACTTCTGTGCTTCATCAACATTTAACCTTTTAAGTATTATATGTAATTTTAATGGCATTTTCTTTTTTTATTATTAATTGTTTTATCATATAAGTGCAGCTCCATTTTTAAACATATTTTTCAGCTCTGTAAATCCCTTTCCAACATGCACATATATGTACATAAAATTTAATGTCTATTATTAAAATATGACAAAATTGATTTGTATAATTTCTCATTGAACTATTTAAGATACCAATGATAAAATCTGACCCACTCTTCATATTAAAAATATTTCCTTTTGACTTTTTGAGGGAAAAAATGACTTTAAATAATACAGTAATCCCTATAGAAAGACTATGTTATATAGACAGGCATAAGGTGGCAGTAAAGAATATCAAACTACTGGATCTGGATTTGACCATCCAAATCCAGTAGCCCCTTCTCAGAACCTGAGTTTCCAAAGTCCTGGGAAGTCTATTCCTATAGCCGTGATGGTGAACCTATGGCACACGTGCCACAAGTGGCACACAGAGCCATTTGTGCCGCCATGCGAACCACAGGCAAACTTACCTCACTGTGCATGCCTCACAGATGATTTTTCAGCTGGTTTGAGGCCTTTTTCAGCCTCCCAAAGGCTTGAAAAAAGCCTCTGCAAGACGAATAATAGGCCAGTTTCATCACTTCCTGTAATACCAGAAGTGACTAAAAGGCCTATTATTCAACCTGAAAAGCCTTGCAGAGGCTTTTTCAAGCCTTTGGGAGGCCGAAAAAGGCTTCAAACCAGCTGAAAAATCAGCGGTGAAGCACAGTGAAGGTAAGGGGGTGGGATTGCACGTGCATGTGCAGGGGGCATGGGGGGGCTGCATTGCCTTCTGGGTGCTGGCATGCGAATGTGTGCGTGCTTGTGCACGTGCAATTTTTGGCACAGGAGCCCAAAAAAGTTAGCCGCGACTGTCCTATAGTAACCAGCTATACTAATTATTGACAAATTATTTTTTTCTAAATTATTCTTAAATAGAAACAAAACAATTTCCAAATGGGTTTGTTTCTTGCATGGCTTATTCTTCAAGGATACATTTAGGGGGTATCGTAAAGTACCTGAACATCACAAATTAGGACTGCCAAAAGTAAAATGAGCATCTGCTGGAGCAGATACATTCATGGAAAAAAACAATAATATTGTTTTGCCAAAAATATACTCCCAAATCTTCTAGTGTATAATTGATTGGTGTTGCCAGATATTACCCTTTTAAAAAAGAACAAATTATATATTATTTCAGAAATTCAGACCTGGATTTTTATTAGAAAGCCACCTTATGAATAAGGCTAATCACTAACCATTTTTCCATTTTAGGAGCTTCATAAATTAATAAATATTAAGGTCTACATTGTTCTATAGCACACCTCAGAAAGAAGTCTGTTACTAATCCCTCTTTATAATGTGTCATATGCTGCTCAGTAATGACCTTCATATTTATTCACATTCATCTGTAAACAACAGCATCTAGTACCATAGTTTGACAGCTTTCTACCTTCATTGAAAGATCTATCAAGAAACTTGGAATATTTCAGTACATTGCACAGATTCTTATGACATATTTTATAGTACATGCATAGTTTATGCGTGCCTGCTAGGATTTGGGTTGGGAATACCCTCTGATCTTGTCAGAAGAGAATCATAAACATAGTGAATGCTGCTGCATGGGGAAACTGAACAGGAGAATATTACTCACGGTACTCTGTCATCCAGGATATCTTATCAGTCATTTCTTCTCACTAAGAAAATCCTGGATCTCAAAATACAGAGGGCACACCTTGAATCCCAACTGCCTATCATATACAACAATGCAGGTTACTATAGGACAGTCGCGGCTAACTTTTTTGGGCTTAAGGGTCACCTCTACAGGTGTCTTTTTAAATGCTCCAAGTATACCAGATCAGTCTTTTTAAAAAATGTTTGATTTCTAATGAAAAAGCCCCACTATGATACAGATATATAGCCAGATTCATCCTCTATGTCAGGGGTGTCAAACTTGATTTCATTGAGGACCACATCAGGGTTGTGTTTGACCTTGGGGGGCAGATGTGGGCAGAGTGGGAATGGTCAGCTTGATGTCAATTGTGTTGGGGGTGCCTGAGGTGGCCCAAGTGCTTTGCCAGTGAAAATTAGTTTCCAAACTCCATTTTAGTCTGCAATGGCATCTTGCAACCCTCTGCCAGCAAAAATGGAGTCCGCAAGGGCCATGTGCAGCCCTCCTGAGCTCTGTTCTCAGGCATCATGGACTGGTCCTTTGCTATTTACAAGATGGCACCGCAGGCCAGATCTAAGCACCCCATGGGCCAAATCTGGCTCCAGGCCTTGAGTTTGACACCCCATTGGTCTATGTCCATTAAATGAGCCATTTTAATTAAATCATATTGACAAAAAAGTTTTTCAGTGAATCCCTTCATAATTCCTTTCAATCCTGGTCACTGATAGTCCATGAATTTTATCTTTTATTCTGAATGAATAAATACTCCTTAACTTACATCTAGTCACTTAACAACTGTTTTAAATTATGCCAGTTCCCCAAATGAGTGCTTCTAACACCGATTTGAACTTCCAATGATCACCCCTCCCACTTATGGAATTGCATTTTGAGCAACTGGCAACTGGCCACTCCCTCTCCTTCTCTTCCACTTTTTAGAAAATCAAAGAGGCAAAGGAATATCATTTTGCAGAACTATTAATTTAGGAAGAATTGTTCTGAAGCAGTAAGGATGGATGTATTTGTACATGCAACTTACACAGTCTATTACACATGCACCCATAAATGCATTTAGAATAGAATTGAATAGAATTGAACTGAATTCTTTATTGGCCAAGTGTGATTGCACACACAAGGAATTTGTCTTGGTGCAAATGCTTTCAGTATACATAAAAGAAAAGATACATTCTTCAAGAGTCAAAAATCATAAGGTACAACACTTAATAATAGTCATAGGGTCCAATAAGCAATACTAGGAAACAGTCAATATAGGTCATAAGGATACAATTGACAAAGTTACAATCCTACAGTCACAACTGGGAGGCGATGGGTGATAAGGAGTGATGAGAAGGTTAATAGTAATAGTAATGCAGATTTTGTAAATAGTTGAACAGTGTTGAGGGAATTATTTGTTTAGCAGTGTAATGGTGTTGGGAAAAAACTGTTCTTGTGTCTAGTTTTTCTGGCGTGCAGTGCCCTATAGTGTGTCCAGGATGTGAGGGGTCTGTAAATATTTTCAAAATCCTCTTTTTGACTTGTGCAGTCCTCCCTCGATGGAGGAGAGGTTGGTAGTAATTGTTTAATTTAATAACACTTTAATATAAAATGGCATAATTCATGGGTCTCAGTGTAAATACTTTGTGTGTTACAAAAAGAAACTGTCACTGTTACTTCACTTCAATAACTAATAAATAAAACTGATATAAGAACGCACTTTTTATGCGAAGTTGTTTTCTAACAATAACTTACTTCAGATAGGAACAGAAATGAAAAGATTGGCAGCAGAATATACTGGCTAATGACTTTTAACCGTTGCTATACATTGGCCAATGTATAGTCAAGTAAACCTTAAATGCTCCTGATCAATACAGATTGAAGTTGCATATGACATTATATATTCATATCACTTCATCACCAAGACTGCCCAGAGAAATTTGCATATAGAGATCATAGGAATCAGGCACCATCAAGACACACAGCTGGCTTGCTATATGGAATTGCCTTTGCATGTAGAATTAAGTTAATCACGCTGAAACAGAAAGTCATCTATTAGTGAACTCACACGGATTTCAAACTATTTGAAACACGGACTCGTGTATACTTAGCGTACTTAACTCAAAAGCATTGGACTTTACAAAGTATCAACAGTTATTTCTAATAGGGGCTAATAATAAGGAACATTAATATTATCGCACTTGTATCCATCCACTCACGCTATGCACTTATCTAAAGGCAATATAATTTTTACCACAATGGTTGAACTTCACATGCACGTACACATTAACGAAAGCAACACATTCTACCAACCTTACTGTCCCGCCTCCAGCTACTCAGTGCCGTGAATGGATTAAAGTCTTGAACTCGCCCGTGAGGAAGAAGAACTCTCAGCACTATTGCGAAACCTTGGACAGTTTTCTCTCTCAGTTCTATCTTAATGGCGAGTCGTGGCCGAGGGGAAAAATCGGACGGGATCTTCTAAAAGAAGCGAGATTGGCAGTACAAACCAGCCGCGGAGTGCTGGCGCTGTTCGTTTCGCACAAACCACCACACCTGCCTTACGAGCTGCGCACGCGCACTAGGACCTTCTAAGCAGGCAGGCCAAGCTATTGCTGCCGCCGCCGGGGATCTCTGACTAGGGGGAAATTATACGCGACCCGCTCTTTGTTTTCTTACCTGGTCCATGGGTCCCGCGCAGGAGGAAGTCACGGACCCTGTTGCCGGCGGACGAACTGCTGCTGCTGCCGCCCGCCGCGTCGCCGCTTACGTTCATGCAGAGCCCCTTGCCGTCGAGCAGCGCCTGCAGAGGTTTCGGCTCGTCGCTTCGAGGCCGGCAGCTGAGCCCGGAGCCGCAGCGCTCGGTATAGACGCCGCACGGCTGTCCTTCTTGCAAAGCGCAGGTGAAGCAACACCCGCAGCCCGGTTCGCGTACCAGCTCCGGGCATTCCGCAACCATGGGCTTGCACTGCTCCAGAGCCCGCGTGTCACACGGATCGCATCGCACCACCGGCCCCACCGCCACCGCCAGCCGGCTCAGCAGCGCCGTTGCCGTCACCACTGCCCAGAGTAGCATGTAGAGCCCAGACACCATAGCAACAGCGACAGGGAGGAGGGACGAAAAAAGGATTAAGTCTGGCAAGCAGAGAGTAAAGAAGGTCTGCAAACAACCTCGAGCAGTGTGCACTGATCGACCCGGGTACCCCTCGTGCCCAGGGCAAGAACAAGCAAGACCAACAGAAAACAGAGACGCACAACTTCACTCGCTCTTGCACACACGTTTCTGTAGGTTGAGGGCAGAGCACAAGCGCCGCCCAGCTTGCCTGGGAAGAGAGAGGGCAAGAAGCGTAGCTCCTTGCAGCTTCTGCGGGAGCCCCCTAAAGTTTAAAAAAGGTGGCAGGAGGTTAGAGATATGAACCTTCTAACTCCAAAGCCTGGAGAAGACCAATCTCTTTCGCAGAAACAAGCTAGAAGAGAGTCACAGTCCCCAGTTCTGCCGTAGGAACAATTCCCCTATTTTGCCCTTTAATACCAATAGTCATTCAGAGGTATATATTTCTCTGTTTCCAAAGCTCCTTCCTTTTCAAAGCTACAAAAATAGCTTATTTTGGAAATTACGTTCCCCCGCCGCCCAATTCGCAACACAATTTCTTAAGAGTCCCTCCCCAAAAACGATAAAATAAGATGTCCTCAGGGGAGAAGAGAAAAGAAAGGCAGGAAAGAAAAGGTGATGCAAAATAATAGTAATTTAAAGAAGAAAATTATCCTTTTTGTCGTTTAAATCTCCTTGTTGCCTGCAACTCCCTCCTAACTTTGCTCCCTCTGATCTCTCTTTCAGCCGCAGTTTGTGCCTATATAGATCCCCTCCTTAAGACACGCCCCGGACTATGAATAATGAATGTCATTGGCAGCAAAATAAAAGGAGGGGAAGACTTTCGGTCAAGAAAGTAAAGAAGGCGGGAGGATCGGTGAATGATTCATAATGATAAGATTACTTCTTAGTAGATTTTGTATATCATGGGGAGGGGGGGAGAGGAGACTCGCGATTCCCCCCCCCCAAATCCTTTCCATTTGCCTTTGTTTCAAGGAAAATGCCCCTCCGCTCCCTTGATTCGAGAAAAGGAGCTCTAAATCGGAAAATCTTTTTCAATTCTTGTCTCCAGTGGAACTGACTAAAAGAACAGATTAAACCCAAGGGGCCAGCTTTTTTAATGGCAGCCAGAGTTTAGGATATCACCTTCAGTTCCTTGAGAAACTGAAATATATGCGAGATTTTATACATGTTCCTGTCAGTCTGCCTTTCCTCTTGACAGCTATGGGAGACAATCGAGCATTAAATCAACTAAGCACCAATTTCTATCTTAAATTAAGAAAACACTGATCGTGGTTGTTCTGCATGATATTCTTAATTTTAGGAAAAGATCTATCTCCTTTATAAAAAGGATAATCATTTCTTTCTACGGAGATAATGAACTGGTTTGCTATAAGTAACATTTAACGTTTGAAAAATCAATAGTATAAGCAGTTATTGAATGAAATGGTTTTCATCTCCAGACCAGATCAATTAGTTGTGCTCTCTCTCTGCAGAATTCACAGTTTGAAATCATTTTTATCATTTTAACAGAAGGTGAAATAAAGAACAATATTTTGATGTAGCATCTCTGCTAATCCTTTGTTTAAATAAAAGCCTAATTTTTAAATGGCAATTTTATGCAGACCATTTTAGAAGTTAGTTTTTGAGTGAATGACAGTAGTCCTTCTAAAAATGTGTGTTTGAACTACCTTTCCATTCCATTCTATGAAGGAAAAGGAAATCAAATTGGCTTATATTATTATTGCATGTGTTATAAATTGTCTTTTAAAGTATGATGAAGAAATAAATGAATTCCAAGTGCTCCAGAATTATTCAGGGAATACTTTCTTTGTTTCTTTTATTCTGAGAACTTGCCAACAGAGGTCGCTAATTGCTTAGTCCAGAGCTGAGGGACCAAATGTGATTGAACTGATTTACAAAGATGCTATTGATCACTTCCTTCTTACTAGTATACAACTGCAGGATAGTGTTCTGATTTTTAAAAAAAACTTTGAATAGCTTTGGGATTCTGTTATAGGTTATGGTCACCATCTAATGGAGAGTTAAGTGCAATTTTAGTTATAAATAAAAAGTATTTGTGCTTCATGTTGGCATCTGTTTAAAAAAAGCAAAAATAACAGAGATGGTTCATGAATCCTGACCAAAAGAAAGGCTACTTTTCTGTCTTCTAAATACCAGCAGATGAATGAATGAATGAAATAATGAATAATGAATGAAATAAGCAGCAGTTTCAGATACTGAAGTGGTAAAACTGCACATTTTATGTTTCTATAATAAAGATTCAAATTTTAATCCTTGTAGCATAAAACCAAAAAAAGAATATAAAATGATTTCTGGAAAGAATTATACTGTGAAATGTGGAAAATATAGTACTAGATATATAACATCTAGTGTGTAATACTTAAGGCAATTCCAGCATAACAGACCACAAGAGCTAGAATGCTTTATAGGTTCAATTATATTTCTAGAACAATGCCCATGATTATTGTTAAATATACCTTAATAATAACATATAGTTATGCTGAAAAGAATAGATAACTGGGAGAGCACATGAGTCATTTTTGGTATGCTTATATCTTGCTTAGAAGTTGGCAAAATCTACAGTATAATGGTAGATTTATAGGGACCTTAGAGGTCTTCTAATTCAATCCCCTGCTTGAGCAGGATATCCTATGCCATTTCAGATAAATGATTATCCAGTTATTCCATTGATTGATTGCTCTCACCATTAGGAAATTTCTCCTTAGTTCTAGGTGGCTTCTCTCCTCAGTTTCCATCCATTGTTTCTTGTCTTGCCTTTTGGTGCTTTGGAAAATAATTTGACCCCCTTGTCTTTGTAGAAGCCTCTCAAACATTGGAATACTGCTACTGCTATCATGTCTCCTCTAGTCCTTTTTGTTAGACTAGACGTACCCAAATCCTGTACTTTTTAACCTCTGCCCCCCTGATCATTTTTGTTGCTCTTCTCTAGATTCTTTCCAGTCTCAACATCTTTTTTATATTGTGGTGACCAGAACTGGATGCAGTATTCCAAGTGCGTCCTTATTAAGGCTTTGTAAAGCAGTATTAGAACTTCATGTGATCTTGATTCTGTCTCTCTATTAATGCAGCTTAGGACTGGATTGGCTTTTTTGACTGCTGTCACACATTTTTGGTTCATATTTAAGTGATCGTCCATTAGGACTCCAAGATCCCTTTAATATTATTTCATATAAAGATTTATATGATGTAAAGGGAAACCAGAGTATAAAATTTAATGCATATAAATAATGTAGTGTCTGAATGGCAGATACAATTACATTGTATTTGAACCAAATATAAAAGAAATGTAAAAAATAAGATTGTGGGGTTTATATGACTCAATGATCCCCAACTAAATCACCCTCTCTGACATTTCATATGATATGTAAATGTTCTAAAGCATGGAATGTTTCATTCTTATTTAGCTGAAGTGGCAAAGTATGCATTTCAGAGTTTCCTGTTGCTGTTCTGACCCAAACTCTTTTCCAATAAGACAAACAATAACAAAGGGAACAGAAACCTTTTAATGACTCTTACGAATCCCCGGTTAAAAGGCTGCTGCAAACTAATTAACTTTGATAAGCACAAATCTTGCCAAAACTGTACAAGATTGCCAAGAATCACAGATAAGAAATATTTCACAACACAGGAGTCTTTAGATATCAACTTAAAATACTGTATGGTTCATGAGGCTGAATTTTAAAACATTCTTCCTGCAAAGAACGTTCACTTCAGAGCTGGCTTTTATCTTCTTGAAGGAGGGGCCATTACCTTGCAGCCTTACTCCTGAGTTGCCCATGCTGTTGCAGCTGCTCTTTCCTGTGGCAAATCCTGCATGCACTCGCACTTGGCACAGGCTCCTTGGGAACCTCCTCATCGCTGCTGCCAGCCCCCACAATCTCTGAAGGCCACTCTCTAATGGTCCTGGGCCCTCATCTGAGTCCTCGTTCTCCTCAGCCGTCCACACCTGCTGTCGGCTAACCACAGTTGCTTCTGATTAGTGTGTGTGTGTGTATGTGTGTGTTTTCTTAAGTTTTTGCAGGTATTTATATGTATGGTATTCAGCTTTGTTTGGGTATTTTCCCATATCATTATAGTTGTGCTTTTAAAGTTGTAGCGACGTTTTGGCAGAATCTCATCTGCCATCATCAGGCTTGTGTATTGGGTTTGTCTGTGTGACAGGCAAAAAAAAAATGCTACAAAACAGACAGAAGATATTAGAAACACCAATGAAGCAGAACACAGCAAACTCCAAGACCAATAAACATAGACCAAGACTCCCAACCAATCAGGATGAAGAAAAAAACATTCTAACAAAGCACGAGGCTCGCACCAAATTTAAAACAGAAATGGTTGCAAAAGCCTGACACACAGATGAACACAATACATAAACCTGATGATGGCAGATGAGATTCTGCTGAAACATCATTATAACTTTAAAAGCACAACTATAATGACATGGGAAAATACCTGAAGAAAGCTGAATACCATACATATAAATACACACACACACACACACACACACACACACACACACACACACATATATATTAAAATAATTATGTTTTTTTCATGTATGCCTGCTGGAGTTATTTTCCATATCCTAGAAGTGCTGTCATAAAATGCAAATGTTTATAGAAATTTTTATTTTAGGTTATGAATTCATTTTTTATTTTGGCAGAGCCTCATAAAATACACAAAATACATTATGCAGACTGGAATAGATATTTAATTTTTTAGTGGACTAAAATAGGAAGTTTATGTATTTTTCACATACAATATATTTTGGGATTATGAGTACATAATGAAGTAATTGCTACTACTAATTTGCTGAAGTTTTGATCAAATACAAAATTGATCCTGGACACTAATTTATCCCAAATATCTTCTGCTAGACATAACTAAATAGTCATGTTGGTATATTTTAAGCTAAGAGCAGTGGAACAAATAGGGGGCCCATTAGAAAAGAGGAAAAACCGAACTGAGTAAAATAATAGCTATCTACTATGTACCAGTGAATGACATTTTCCTTTTTGTTTCTCCATTGTTTCTTCATAATTTCACCTAACAAAGCTGTTTTATATGGTAAAAATTGAATTATGAGGTGTTTCAAATTCATTCAAAAAAAAGAGAGCACTTTGGAGTTCATAGGCACAAGCATAACCTCTATGTTTTCAGAACAATGTCATAACCATATAAATGTAGGGAAAAGATACAGCTATATTAAAGGGTGAGATACAACATGTGTCGTCTTCATAATTTGAAGATTTTTTAAAATTACTTTTGAAGAACTTTACATATTTTAGTCCAAATCCCGCCCAAGGAGTCGGATGTCATGATCTCCCACGCCCCTGCCCTCAGGAGCTTCTCTTCCTCCTCGACAGAAGCGCTCACATGCTCAGTGGAAGGAAGAGGCTTGTCAGAGGCCAGAGGGGCGGTGAATGCTTTGCACATGAGTGCTTCTGTAGAGGAGAAAGGGAAGCTTTTGGGGTGGGCGAGCCTCCCCCTTGCAACATCTTCCCTCGAGGGCTTCGCTGGCAGCTGCTCAACCTCTTCAATGCGCGGAAGCAAGAGATAGGAGGTGACATCAATTCAGAGGATCCTTTCCCCTCACCCCCACCCCCTCACAGGCCAGGCCTATGCCATGATCTCCCATGTGTATGAGTCCATCTGTTGCCCCACCCCTGACAGCCATCT